GTTAATTCTGCCTCGTAGACGCTCACAGGCAAATAAGAACTGGTCATCTGCATTCAAAATATGACAGCTTCATATAAGTAGAAAAACCTAGGCCAAGAAGACGCAAGGAGTTGCTCTCCTGGGGTTAGCATCAGTCACGATGACAGATGGCAAAAATATATATATATACACTTTTCATATATATATATATATATATATATATATATATATATATATACATAGAATAGATTTTACCTCATTCAAATAGCTATTTCAACCAAGATTGTCTGTCAACTCAGAAGGAACAGAACTTAAAATTTAAACATTTAAAAATAAAAAGTAAAAAAAAAAGAAAAAAAAAGGCGAAAGAAGAAAAGAAATCTAATCCTCCGTATCATGGTAAGGGATGTGGAGGATCATTTCATTCCTATATTTTAAAATATCAGATCCCAAGGAGGTTTTTGTATATTATTTGAAACAACTAAAATATAATTAAAATAGAAAAGAGTAAATGATGGATGTTTCTCCTTTTTAAAAAGTTCACAAATCTATGCTAGTCATTTAAATAAATAGATAATTTATATAAAGAAAAAAATAACACAAAAATATTTAAATTTAGTTTTGTATGTAAAGTGTAAAGTCTAAAATTAACATTTAAAATATATAATAAAAATAATAAAAATAATATAATAAAAAAAGATAAAATTGCAAAAAATAAATAAATAATTAACGTTTAACACACACACACACACATATATATATATATATATATATATATATATATATATATATATAACCAAAACTAATATTAATGTTTAAATGGCGAGACATCCAACCAAATGCAATTCAAATAATATACAAAACCTCCGAATCCGTTAAATGAAATGATCCTTGTTTAAAGTTTCTGCCGTAATTCTTATTTTTACTACAAATCTGACAGAAGATTAAAAAATGTTGTTCTTGTTTTTTCAGGACAAAATAAGACAGAAATTACAAAAATAACAAAAAAAAAAAACAAAACAAAAAAAAACTTAAGGAGAAAACAAAATGCAGATATCTAAATCGGTAAATAACGCAAAGTACTCGATGCATAGCGTAAATATTATCGGTCCTGACCTGGCTGCTCGGCTTCAATCAATTTTCCAGCGCAGTAAGGTTGCCTCTCTGTGCTTTTTCTATAAATATTTTCATGGTAATTGTTCAGATGGCCTCTTCACTAGACTTTATGAATTTAAGTGCATTACTAGACTGTCGTCGAAAGCTCATAAATTTGTAGTTGAGCTGGCTGAGATATAGCTGTAAGTTCTATGCTAACAGTTTATTCTCTTACACTTCTCACTTGTTTGGATGTTCTCACTTTATCAGAACGTGCAGGATGTCTTTTTCGTTTTGATACAAACATTGGGGAACAGTCAACGTCTTCTCTTTTCGTATCTTGTGGACAAACGATCTTGCAACTCTGAGGAAACGTGCAATGTCCAAATCTCTATGATCAGCCTATATAAATAAATAATTACGACTCCATGCTATCCAGCCAACTTTAATCTGCAAAGATTTAAAAGCAATGTCAGTCGCTATCTGCTGTTATTCGTTTTTTCTCTTTTCGCTCGTTATTAAGACTTCTGTTCCACACCATGTGACCCCTTGTGTCTTAGTGGCTTTACTACCTTGCATGGGGTGATATTGATTAAAAAAATAAGAGAGGTCAAGATATGGCAGTAACACAGACCAATGAACGACGAAAAGATCAGATCCAAACAACAACTCGGAGTTTCTTCCAAAGGGATCGTCAGAAGAAAAAAAAAGTGGAAAGTGTAAACAGCGTGTTTAAATTCCATCCAAGTTTGCTACGTCCAAGAAAGGCATGACTTCATTTCTTCTTCCCCAGCTATGGGTCAAATAGCAGAGTAAACTGGACTCTAACATTGGGCGGTTGTAAGTATAGTATTGATTGATTGATTCGTTCTCTAGATTTTATCAACTCTTTGCAGGTTATTTAAAACCAAAAATATTTTTTAGGATGTAAGACTTTTTGAGAGATAATAATGATTTAGTGATATGTCTTACTAATTAACCCATAGCTGGGGGAGAAGAAGTGAGTTGATACCTTTCCAAATGTTGATTTTAGCGCAACTGAATGTAACGAACCCAATTGGACTTGGAATTCGGATCTTCGATTAAAAATGTCGAGCCTTTATCCATGACACCATCCGCACATCCAAGCTTACAGCACCTTGTATTCCCAAGCGGTCACCCATCTAGGTACTGATCAGGCTTGGTTAAATATAATGAACCTGGTTGGACTTAAAACTCGGCTCTCCGATTAACAATTCCGAGCCATTACATCACCATTACATTACCACCACCGAGCCATTACACGCTGTAAGCTTTGTATGTGCAATACAAGCTTACTGCACCTGGTATTTTCAAGAGGTCAACCATCTAGGTAGTAACACAGCTCGACGTTGCTTAACTTCGATGATCATCCAGGAACCAGTGTTTCAACGTGATATGGTCGTAAACCGGAGTAGGTCTAACAGAAAGATCAATCTGAATTCAAAACCACGAGAAAAGGCAACGGTTTTGTTTGGTCTGGTTTATATTGTTTTACGGCATATCAACCTCAATGGGTTATTTAATGCCGACAAAATTTTTAAAATAGATTCGTATGAATAGAATATGTATTCTTTGGTTTAGATTGGTTTGGTTTATTTTGTTTTACGGCATATCAACCTCAATGGATTATTTAATGCCGACAACATTTTTAGAATAGGTTCGTATGAATAGAATATGTATTCTTTGGTTTAGATTGGTTTGGTTTATTTTGATTAACGGCATATTAACCTCAATGGGTTATTTAATGCTGACAAGACTTTTAGGATAGATTCGTATAAATAGAATATGTATTCTTTGGTTTAGATTGGTTTGGTTTATTTTGATTAACGGCATATTAACCTCAATGGGTTATTTAATGCTGACAAGACTTTTAGGATAGATTCGTATGAATAGAATATGTATTCTTTGGTTTAGATTGGTTTGGTTTATTTTGATTAACGGCATATTAACCTCAATGGGTTATTTAATGCTGACAAGACTTTTAGGATAGATTCGTATGAATAGAATATGTATTCTTTGGTTTAGATTGGTTTGGTTTATTTTGATTAACGGCATATTAACCTCAATGGGTTATTTAATGCTGACAAGACTTTTAGGATAGATTCGTATGAATAGAATATGTATTCTTTGGTTTAGATTGGTTTGGTTTATTTTGATTAACGGCATATTAACCTCAATGGGTTATTTAATGCTGACAAGACTTTTAGGATAGATTCGTATGAATAGAATATGTATTCTTTGGTTTAGATTGGTTTGGTTTATTTTGATTAACGGCATATTAACCTCAATGGGTTATTTAATGCTGACAAGACTTTTAGGATAGATTCGTATGAATAGAATATGTATTCTTTGGTTTAGATTGGTTTGGTTTATTTTGATTAACGGCATATTAACCTCAATGGGTTATTTAATGCTGACAAGACTTTTAGGATAGATTCGTATGAATAGAATATGTATTCTTTGGTTTAGATTGGTTTGGTTTATTTTGTTTTACGGCATATTAACCTCAATGGGTTATTTAATGCTGACAAGACTTTTAGGATAGATTCGTATGAATAGAATATGTATTCTTTGGTTTAGATTGGATATTTTGTTTTATTCAACCTCAATGGATTATTTAATGAATTTTTAGAATAGAAATATGTATTCTTTTGGTTTAGATTGGTTTGGTTTATTTTGATTAACGGCATTTAACGGCAATATTTAATGCCTCAAGACTTTTAGGATAGATTTAATAGAATAACAACATTTTGATTAACGGCATATTAACCTCAATTGGTTATTTAAGGTTCGTATGAATAGAATATGTATTCTTTGGTTTAGATTGGTTTGGTTTATTTTGATTAACGGCATATTAACCTCAATGGGTTATTTAATGCTGACAAGACTTTTAGGATAGATTCGTATGAATAGAATAGAATTCTTTTTGTTTAGATTGGTTTGGTTTATTTTGTTTACGGCATATCAACCTCAATGGATTATTTAATGCCGACAACATTTTTTAGAATAGGTTCGTATGAATAGAATATGTATTCTTTGGTTTAGATTGGTTTGGTTTATTTTGATTAACGGCATATTAACCTCAATGGGTTATTTAATGCTGACAAGACTTTTAGGATAGATTCGTATGAATAGAATATGTATTCTTTGGTTTAGATTGGTTTGGTTTATTTTGTTTTACGGCATATTAACCTCAATGGGTTATTTAATGCTGACAAGACTTTTAGGATAGATTCGTATGAATAGAATATGTATTCTTTGGTTTAGATTGGTTTGGTTTATTTTGTTTTGTTTGTTCAATGGGTTATTTAATGCCGACAACATTTTTTATTGCTGGTAATATTTTGTTTTTGTCAAAAATCTGTTTCTGGTAATATATTTCTTTCAAAATTGTATTGCTAGTAATAATTTTTTCAAGAAAGTATTGCTGGTAATAGTTAACTATTTGCCCATAGCTGGGACCCTAACAGGTGCTACCATCCCGGGTCAGGGTAGACTTGGGAATACCAGCAATTAAGAGGTGGTTCCACGCTCATCAAAACCTCCTGATCAGAGGCCTTGCTGCTGGACGTAGTTTAACGTCTTACCCAGGACGAAAAGGGCAACAGAGAACCCTTTCAGTATTTTTATCAGTAGTATACAAATTCATAGATATTAAAGAAAAAGAAGCTGTGGAGAGCCATTATTGCTTATGTCTTAAAGGATAGGGCATTAAACTGAGGTGAAAAATATGCGGCGTTTAATATGTGAAAAGATGAAAGAAATTACATTGCGCAAGAGAATTCGGGAAAGAAATACAGGAATAAAGAAATGCATATGAGGAAAGATACAAAGAAATAATTTACAAAAGAGATGAACGAAGGAATAAAAAAAATCGATACGTAAATAAAGTAAAAGGACATAAAAGACGAATAAATAAAACCCCCAAAAATATAAAGAAATAATGAAAGGTAAAAAGTATATGATGTGGTAACGCAGTTTCAATGAGCAGAAAGAAAGACAATACATAAATCAATCTCTAAGTAAATCATAGATATTAAAGAAAAAGAAGCTGTGGAGAGCCATTATTGCTTATGTCTTAAGGGATAGGGCATTAAAAAATATTTGCTTTGAAAAATTTCACCTGTTATTAACGAAGCAAATGCCGAATTTTGAATACTGCTTTCAAGCTAGGCGTTGTAAGTATGGTGATGAACCTTCTGACTAAAATCCGCCAGTAATAGACAGTTTAACGTAGTAAACGGTGACAATATTGAAGTCAATGTAAGTGAAAGGGTCGATCTGTTACGCTAAAAAAACAACAAAAAACAAAAAATAACGACAACAGTGTTTCACCGACACTTTATATTCTGATATCTGAAGAAACTGAACAGAACGCTTCAATTATTTACACTTTGATCGTTTGTAGCAAGAACAATAAAATGTTGTTTTATAGACGCTTTTTGCAAAGTATTTCGGATATTTTCGACACAAACGCTAACGTCTCGCTTGATGATAGCTATTATTTCCCCCTCTTCTGTTGTTGTTTTTTTTTATCGATTTTACCCACAATTAAGAGATGATTCATCTGTATCATAAATATAGCATTATTTGTCGCTTATTGCCGATAAGTAATTCTATGACTGACCTGTCTGAACGGACTTGAGAAGTGTAGCACTTTGATGCAACACAATGAACGGTAGAACGGGGCTCGCATCATGGTCAAGCTGAGGCTTTATCAGCACTCCTCTGCTAATACTATGATATATTTGTTTTTTTTTTAATCGAGATCACCCTAAGCAAGGCAATAAAGACGCAAAGGTTTACTGGATATGGAAGAATTAGAAACAACAGTACTAGTGAGCGAGAACAAAAAGAGTGATCAGGAGGACAGTAGATAGCGATTGATATTGCATTTGAATTTTTGATGTTGGCTGGAAAGGAAGGAGCGGAAGGGCGATCCACTAGCGAGAAATGTGAGAAAAGAAACTGTTAGCATGGATTTTACGGTTGCAGAGAAGCAACCTTACGGCGTTGGGAAAGTGAGTGAAGCCGAGACGCCAGATCAGGACCAATAATATTGCTGATTCTTTGGATTTTATCAAAGAGCTCTAGATAAATAGCAAGAGCACCGGCTGCACGTGGCAACAATATTCTTATCCTGAACGAATGGTAGACTTATAGATATGTAGGATAGATTCTGGGAGAAAAATTGAACCAATTTTCTTAGCAGCTGACCTAGTAACAGATTCAATATATATATATATATATATATATATATATATATATATATATATATATATATATTCCACATCATGTCAACGGAGAACATTAGTCCGAGAAGACGCAAAGAGTAACTCTCGTGGAGGTTAGCATCAGCCATGCTAATGGAAGGCGGAGGGAGGAGCTTCTCAGATGAATAACAGAGAGCAGTTTAGTTTTGGAGGCGTTCAAGACATCCTTTGCTTCACTTAAAAACTGACTGAATATCGTTTTTGATATCAGGTGCCATTTTGACCTTATCAATCTGATCAGACTTACTATCGAAACAGGAGTAAATGGTTGTGTCGCCAGATTAGATACCGAGTTGAGAGCTGATGCCATCAGAAAGTCATTAATATAGCAGGAGTACCAGGCCATATGTGGCAGCAATATTCTAAGCATAGGCGAATGGCAGACTTATAGATATGTAAGATAGATTCCGGAGAGAAAAATTGTCTAGCACGTCTAGAACAAACGTTCTTATGTACTGACCTAGCAATGGATGCAATAGTCATTCCATTTCATGTAAGCCGAGAACGTTAGCTTGAGAAGGGGCAATGACACACTCTCCTGGAGGTCAGCATCAGCCATACTGATGTAAGGGAGAATAAGGTCTTTCCATTGATTAGTAGAGAGCATCAATACATCATTTGCCTCAGTTAAAAACAGACTGAATTTTGACCTTATTAATCTGATCAGACTATCGATACAGGAGTAAATAATTGTGTCATCAGAGTAGATATCAAGTTGAGAGTTAATGCCATCGGAAAGTCATTAATTGTTATGGTCCAAGGAAGAACAACACGAACACAAGAGTAAAAATAACGAAGGTATATTACACGAAATAATAACAGATGTGAAAGGTGTTAGTATGACTGTCAGTCTGGTTTGGAGTGAACTACTATCGGCTCGACACGATTCGGTATCTAGCCACCCGACCGCGCGAGGGTTGCATGTGGCACAAGGCCGAGTTTAACGTGGATTTCCCGAGCCCGTAGGCTCGGCCAAAAAATGCCTGTAGAACCCGTATAAACGGCATTGGGTTGGTCAACCTCCCCGAACGAGATTCTGGACTTCGGGGGAGCCTCGTCCGGGTTCCTCTCCGCTCAGAGGCAGAGAGTTCGACCGTCAAGCCGAGAAGCTCGGCTCGATTCGGTATCTAGC